CGCGGGAAGATCCCAATGGATTTCTAGTCCATCGCCTTAACCACTCGGCCACGACAACACGTTTGCTTAATTATCTGTGACATTTTTATAGGCGAATACTTAATTTTGAGGGTCGCGCGGTTGACCCTGAGCCCGAGTTCTGAAACAATGGCAGCTGTTTTGCAGCACATATGTTGGCGTGGCCCTGTGATTAAGATGATGGACAAAAAATGCACTCGGGTCTCTCGACCCAGGTAGAAGTCTTGTTGACAGTGAAGACAGTTCGGAGATTTGATACAAAACATGGGAACTCTCTCGAAGAGAATTACAGAAAATTCTGCACCATTATGTGCTCGTTGTCGGCAGGACTCGAACCTGCACAGGAAGACCCCAATGGATTTCAAGTTCATCGCCTTAACCACTCGGCCACGACAACACATTTGCTTAATTATAGGTGACATTTTTGTAGGCGAATACTTAATTTTGAGTAACTGACCCTGAGCCTGAGTCCAGAGCCAATGGCAGCCATTTTGCAGCACATATGTTGGCGTGGCCCCGTGATGAAGATGATGGATGAGAAATCCAGTTGGGTCTCCCTACCCAGGTTGAAGTCCTGTCGACAGTAAATACTGTACAGTTAGATTTGGTATAAAACATGCTGACTCTCTCAAAGAGAATCATAGAATTTGCGAAAATGTCTTTCCAAGAGATGCTCGTTGTCGGCAGGATTTGAACCTACGCGGGAAGATCCCAATGGATTTCTAGTCCATCGCCTTAACCACTCGGCCACGACAACACATTTACTTGCTTGTAGGTGACATATTTGTAGGAGAATTTTGTGCCTGACACCGCACGGAAAAATTTTCACGCCTGTGCTCTGTGGATCTGAAAGACGATGCTCATCACACCTGCTGCCCATTCTCACGCCCTTTGCTAATTTCATTCTCGCAGTAAGACGGGTGTTTGTCGCCAGCGCGTCATGGAGCTGCTGCCGAAGGTGGAAGGCGTTGTGCAGGAGATGGCTGAGAGCGAACAAGTCCTGATGGGTCTGCAGGAGAAGCGCCAAAGGGAGCTGTGGAATCTCCTCAAAGTTGCCTGTGTGAGCAAACACTCGCTCATCGAATCACTTCACACACTGGTGACCTTGTCTGAACGAACTGACTCAGTAATTACGATGACTTCCTGTAGAGTAAGGTTCGAAGCCCGGTAAGCGGGAGTCCCGATGGATCTCGGACGCCTTCTTCAGTACCTCCTCTGATGACCCCCCGACACAGTTTACAGCAGTTGTGAGTATACCCAAGGTGCTGGGCAATATGGCCCACAGGAGGGACTCAGTCACATCATCTACAAGAATTGACTGAGGCTTAAGTTAACCTTCAAATACTATAAATAACCAAAATAATATGTCTTTCCTTTGTTTTGGTCTGAAGAAGCACAAGAACATTTGGAAAATGTTGAAATTTAAGGAACATATCTTTTACAAAACATTTCATGAAGCACCTTTGATTTCCTTCGACAAATGTGCAATTTACTTATCATTCACATATATGCATTGCAACTGATGCTACTGATTGTACAAAGGCACAAAACTTGAACAAGTAATTGGTATTGAAAAATATAGTCATGCACTTTAAGATTAAACGAGATTTAGAAAGAAAGGAATTTTTAAAGCATTTACACATGTGCATCTAAATCTAAATTTAATCCCTGCCTACACCTTAAAAACTAAGGAGAGCGCTATTAAATTGTAAAGAATAAAATATTCACATGTCCTTGATAACGTCTGCTCTGCTGTGTTGGGTCTGTCTCAGTGACAGACTGAGACTGCGGTTGTCTTCTTCTCTGATCAAAACAATGTTGTCTTCTACTCTTATCAAAACAATGTGCCCCCTAGCGGATACTCCACGAATTGCACGTTATTCAAATTATTCACTCCGTGTCTTTTATGCATTTTTTTTCACTTTTAAATGATCCTGCGGTCCTGATCGAACCTCCTTTGGGGTTTGACAACCTGGCTTAGGCTTTGTACTTTTTGTCAGCACAAAATAGACAATGGAGTTGTGTAATTTACTCCATTGTTGGCAAGTTTCTCTCAACCACATCTCTCCCACACACCAGCAGGCCTGCCACTTTGGCCACTGATGAAACCCCAAACTCTCAGCGCAGATATTCGCCCCAAGTCGGGGAACACACATTGTACTTGGAAACACATAGGAAGGTTAACAGCACAGGAGGGAAAGCTCTCTGGCCTGAGAGTCCTGAGAGAGTGTCAGCTGCTACCCACCAACAGATAAGTTGTCGTGGCCGAGTGGTTAAGGCGATGGACTAGAAATCCATTGGGGTCTCCCCGCGCAGGTTCGAATCCTGCCGACAACGGCCATGTTTTGGACCAGAGAGAAGGATTTACTCAGGTGAAATACCCAAACTGTATTTTGACAATGGGACTGCAAATAGCATCAAGAAAAACTTGATTCACTGGATGACAGTTATGAAGCTTTATCGGCATAGTTACCTTGAAAAAGTCAGATGACCTCATCCTGTAGTGCTTCATGTTTTAAGATGAAATCCTTTCACTTTTTTTCTTTTATGTTCCAAAATGTAGAGTTGTTTATTGTGTGCCTGTTGTATTAGTCCAAAGGGTGCGTTTTGCCTCTTTCATTTTTGTGCAACTTTGCCATGGAACAGACCAAGGCTGAATTTTGTGTTGTGATCAATGACTTGGGCCTCATGTTACGCACTTCTGCAGCCTAGTGGCTATTCTTTCCCTGGAAAAGAGACATGTAGAGGTAGAGCTGAGCGTGTCTGTAGTGGCCTGAAAGAAAATGATTGCTCTTCATAGTCTTCCCTGAAGATGAACATTCTATTATACATTTTGCCAGTTTTGTTTAGTCACAAATTAATGCATTCAATCTTTGAATAATAACTTTAATCATACTATTAGAAATAGTAACGCTTTAGTTCACTACTTACCCAAAATGGCTGCTATTTTTGAGTAAAATGTTACAAATACGTTACCGGCCTCACCAACTTTAAGTTATCGAATTCCAATGTATTTAATTTTTTTGCAATGTGTGAGAGATGTCATAGATGTGTCTCTTTCAGTTGCTCACCTAGCATGTTGCCACTGCACACAGCTTTGCTGGAAACTAAAATCCTGACTGAATAATTTTGGACAATGGTTGCTAATACAATTATGAGACATACACTCGTCACTGGGAGTTTCCTTTCTCCCATACGTTTGTAATTCTTTTTCAACCACCACAGCCAATATTTTCCTTTTTTTTTTGCCAGGGATGAGTCTCTGGTTGAGGAGAGCAGGACCTTTGAGAGTCGACTGCAAAGTTTGCTGCATGACACCATTCAGGAGTCCGAGAGCAGCATGGAGGTAGGAGGCAAGGTTATTATAGTTAACAAAAACTAAAAAATATAGACATAAATAAAATTGTGGAGAAATAAAAAACATTTTCACTAACAATATAAGAAAAAGGAAAATGCTTTCCTACAAATGGAACAAGCTGAAGCCACATCTTATGCTTCTGAAACAAATTCAAACTAACAATAATTAATGGGGAAAATAACCTGACTTTTCATTTTATCAACACTAAGACTAAAACTAAAAAAAAATAAAAATAACTTAGCATCTTAAAAAAGGAACACTGATAAAAACAACAACAAAAAAGACTGCTCTAAAAATTAATTAAAAACTAACTAAATTTAGAAAACAGAAGGCAAAACAAAATAAAAACCAACCAAAATTTAAAATGAAAAACAATGACAATCTTGATAGGACACTCATTGACGTGTTGCCTTTTCCGCAAATCAAATGAAACATGATTGATCTCACTCAATGTTTTGTGTACCAGATGCTGAGGGAATGGACGTGGCTGCAAGGGAGCAACAGTTTCTCCAGAGATCTTTCCTAGTTTAACGTCCACTTGGTGCCACCGTGTAGAAACCAGGACAAAACATATGTTTGTGCACACTTCGAAGGGGAACAGCAAATCCTCAATGATTCCACAGCTTTGGAAGTTGTTGATGTTAGACCGCAGATCAAAGATGTACACTGTGATTATGACAATGTTTGCGGAGGGTGTCTTGCTCATTTTTTTTCGTCCTCAACAAACGGCACTTGGCCTCATTAGGGTCGCGGGTGAGCTGGACCTTATCCCAGTTGACTTTTGGTGAGATGCGGGATATTGCTTGGATTGATTGCAAGACAGTTCTTTTAACCAATCATCCTACACCAATATAACCTCACTTCAGACTCAGAGCTGTTTGTTCTCAGCCATCCAGATTATGGGAATCTGACCTTTTTAACTGCATGTTGAGGTGCACCGGATGAAGTGTACAGAGATTGTCACAAAAGTATTGTAGCATCATTCAGTGTCACAGTAGAATAACAATAACAAAGCAGGGGTGGGCAAAGTATGGCCTGTGGGCCACCTACGGCCCACTACATTTTTTTAACCTATCCGATCAAGCTTTTACGTTATTAAGAATCCTGTACTTTCTGTTGTATTCATTTAGCCTGTTTTGAAAAGTTGTTCATGAAACTGTAAGTCAATTTTAATTTGAAATATTTTCAATCCACGTAGCTCGTTAAATAATTATTTAAAGATTTTTCTTCGATAATAAACTAAGGCCCACCTCAAACCAACAACTGAACTAACTGGACAGTCGAGAAAAAAAAAAAAACAGTCTGCGACTCTCCTAATCCTGCCATGCATAATTAACTCACTTCAACGGGAAAATTTAATTGTCCTGACCGCTGTAACTGTAATATGGACAAAAGTAAAAGAAGAGACTGGAGACATTTGCACGACAAAGAGACTCAACGCTTTGCTATTGAATCGTCACGTGCATATGAAATTATAAATGTCGTTAAGTATTATTGTAAACCACAAGACATATACTGGATATTCTGTATTGATATGCTTCGAGTGGCCAGCTGCATGTCACTTCTACCCAAAAGCACAATTTTTGATGTGAAATCTCGAGGGCATTTCAGTGACAAGAGGCCTCCATGCTTAACGTTTTAGCTGCAGGTACATATGAAATTACAAACATGGTTAAGTATTATTGTAAAGCACAACATAAATGATATACTGTATAATATACAGTATATCATTTACTATTTACTATATAGTGTATAAACTTCATTAATACAGCTTGGCGGACCTTCCTTAATACCTGTAAAATGTCATTTTTCTTGTGAAAGGTCATGTGATAGGACATTTTTGATTTGATTTGCGACACTGTTCACTGACGATAGTTGCCAAACCCTTAGCTAATGGTCAAACAGGCATGAAAAGTAGTCACTGAGCACGACGGTACATTACGTGATATTTTAGTCTGGTTTTTGATTGTTAAAACTCTGTTGCAGATTTAACTTTTTTAACTCCATCCACGAATGACCTGGTCCAATTGTCTGTGTTAACAAATCACACGTTGTTGCCTGTAGCACAAAAGTTTGCACACGGTTTTTAATGCGGCATTTTCTCCATTAAGACATAAAGTAAAATTTTGAACTAAAACAGGATCAGATTAGGGGCACTTCTCATCCATTCCACAACTTCCTTGATGTCAAAAGATGTACTGCCTGGCTATTTTTTAATGTGTTTCTCTCCATCTATTGATACTGAAGCGAAGGGAGGTGTTAATATATTGCCACTGGGCTGCAATTTCATCGTGCCGTTAAAACTGCAATAATGACATGTTAAGAGAGTGATATTTTGAATTTTACACCTGTTTTTTTATTATTGATGTCATGATATATAATGGCACAAAAGTACGTATTCATCATTGTGTTGTCATTTTTTTATTCCACTGCTTAAATAAAAGTCAGTCTGAGGTTATACCTTTTGAGTAAGGTTCTTATATAAAGCGCGCGCACACACGCACGCGCGCACACACACACACGCATGCGCGCGCGCGCCAGCACACACATACCAGACCTTTCAGCGAATGAAGTGAAATGGTTGAGTTAGATGTCCACTTGCTCACTTGGACAATACATCTTTTATTGCACTTTTTTATGATCGTCAGATATTTGGCGAAGTGACCAAAAAAAAAAAAAAAGAAAATATGAAAAGGTTCCCTCTTTGCTTAAAAACATGGAATTCAATAGCCATGCATTCAGATTAAAATGCAAAATTCACTGTTTGCAATTAGAGTGTGGCAAAAGTTTGAGTTGAAATAAGGAGCATTAAATCCTATTTATGTACAAATAAAACATATAAGTTAATACACTGGGCACAGTGTGAGTTGAAGATGGGTATCTTTTGGCTGGAAATGACATGATAGCTTTGAATTCACAAAAATACATTTGAAAATGTGTCATTTGCCCGATATTATTGGACAATGATGTGCAACACAACTCCCTTGCTCCGTTGTATTCCAGCAGCACAACCTGAACAGTATGTTGCTGAACTATCAATCTGGTTTAACGATATTGCAATGAAACAAGCCCTTAGACTGAGTTTATTTGTGTGTGTAATGATGTTATTTCGTGTTGCTGGTTGGACCTTGGAGGCGGCTTCATAATTGGCCTCTTTCATTTTCTTCTTTATCCTTGTTCCGCGATGACATTTCTTCTTCCCGGTATCTTTACACATCCACCTCGAAACCAAGGCCCATCTTGTGTCCGCCACCGTTGATATTCTTCCCGTCGATCAGTGTCGAGAGTGTTAGCTTGATTCCTGCGGGAAAAGAAGAAGGAAGCATCAACGGTGCCTTTTCGCCAGTAGTTGGAAGTCAGGGCATCTTCAATATCTACAGCCTAAATGATTGGAGTGCCTTGAGGTGAGTGACCCAACTAATAAGTTTGCTATGTGGTGGTAGCGAAGGCGACTCACTTCACAAAAAGCAAAAGCTTGGCAGACAGTGAACAAATGTTCTCAAAAAAGAGGCTTCGATCTGCTTATTGACATGCCCACTTCATGTTTCCTGTCAAACTAAACAAAAATAATTACAGAGCTGCGTGAATTCATCATGATGCTAAAATGTTTACAGTATTTAAAAATATATCTACGTATGTGGATGTTTGATTTTTTTTTTCTTTTGTCCAATCAGATTTCAAACTATGTGCTACAATGGGCCTACAGAATCAGGACTGCTGTCCCATGTAACCTAAACTGTATTAGCAACAAGAACAAATTTGCCTGATTTGCCCATATGCCGTCAAATAATTTTCTGTTCTCTGATTGGTTTGTAAGAGCAAAATTGGCCACTTTTATTGCACTGTTGTTTCAGAAAAACAAACCTGGCCTGAGGGTTTGCGTGTATCCGACTCCAACAAGACAGGAGTTGTTGACTTTGGCCTGTGTGGAGAAAACGGCAAATCTTGAGTGTCCGCAGACAGGAAGTGACACGCTGTGACACTATTGTATGTCCCACAATTGTGAGACTACTCGTGGAACCATTCCTTACAGAAAGAGAGGCATTCTTATCCAGCTGATATTTGGCTCCCACGCTGAAGTGTGTGTTGTTGCTTCCAGCCGTCCAGGCCAGGTGGACCGCAGTCTCCGCTTTGCTGTTCACCTTTTGGTAAATAGAGCCCGTAAATTCTGTGCCATCGTTGCTGCAACAGAAAAGTAGAGTGAATGTTGAAAAGAAGAGAACCACCAGAACAACCCAGAATAGATGAAAATGATAGGAGGTGACCAATAGAGTGGATATAAAAAGTCTATAGAGCCCTGTTTTGGGGATATGAAAAATGCGATCAAGATAAATCATTTTAAAAAATCCACCACTGATGTGACCTCGAACAAAATAATAAAAAAAAAAATCAAAATCTTTTCAAGACAAACAACTGAGATAATGTGGCAGCACAAGTGTACACAACTTCTTATAACTGATTAAAACGCCTTTGATTATCCCCAAATAAAGTTCAACTGTTCTTGGTTAGGATTGATCTCATTGATGAAAGGTATCCATCATGAGAATGGTATTAAAAAAATTGCAAGCATGGAATGGAGAGAAAATACTGCATTTATTTGTGTTGCATCTGTAACTCATGATTATTTTAATAACCGATTAATCACTGAATTACTGTAGATTTTAAAAGCACATTTAAATTTCCGTCCCTTTATTTTAAAAAAAAAAGGGCATTATTTCATATTGACACTGCAGAAAACGCACAAACATAAATTCACGGTGATTTCGTTTTTGGTTTGGTTCAGAACAAATCTTGATAATTGTTTTCCGAATTTTTTTTCAGTGATACAAATTAACTTTTGTAGATTATATTCCAAATCTGGCCTTGTTTTTTTTCCTCTAGCAGATCATCTGAAAGTTGGAGTACCTGGAGAAAACCAATGCAAGCACCGTCAGACAATGACAGAACCCCAAGTCATTAAAAAAAAATACAATTAAAAATCAATACAGCATTTTTATATTGTGTTTCTGTCTCGTTTTTTTTTTTCCCCCATAATTGCTGTTCAAGGCCCAGGAACCAAATGCACAGCCCACAACAGATGAAAAAACAAAACAATATCAACAAAACAATAGTTGATTTTGACACTGCATAATATGACGTGTCACATGACACTCACACGCTGGTGTGTAGCTGAAAGTCGCGGGCCTTGTATCCCAGAGAGAAGTTGTTCATGGTAAGCCTGGATTTGGCGGTATCGAATGCCACCTGGTAGCCCGCCAGCCAGCCCTTGTAGCCCAGTACGGTGGCACTGTGGACGGTGGGGCCGCCCATGTCGAACACCAGGTCGCAGCCCACGTTGACAAAGTCACGCTTGTAAGCAGTGTTCAGCTTGGCGCTCTTTTTGCTGCAGGATGAGGGCAAATCATTTCTCTACTGGCCCCGTGATTAAGATGATGGACAAAAAATCCACCCGGGTCTCTCGACCCGGGTAGAAGTCTTGTTGACAGTGAAGACAGTTCGGAGATTTGATACAAAACATGGGAACTCTCTCAAAGGCTGCAGGATGAGGGCAAATCATTTCTCTACACCAGTGGTTCTTAACCTAGGTTCGATCGAACCCCAGGGGTTCGGTGAATCGGTCTCAGGGGTAAAACACACGCGACATATAAATTATTTACAACACGCCCGCTTGGCTATCACTGGCTGCAGATGATCACATGACATTGCTTGTCCAATCAGTGCTGTGGGAAATTTAGTTCGCTTAGTAGTCAACGTGTGACTGTCGTGATAGTACATCGTAGAATTAAAAAAAAAAAAAAATGTATACTTATCTCTTGAAATTGTATTTACTTTTTTTCTGTTTTTAAAATAAATGCGTTTTTTTTTTTAATGTCTTGAAATTGTAAAAAATATATATGTATATTTATTTTTCACTAATGAAGAGTTCGGTGAATGTGTATATTAACTGGTTGGGTTCGGTACCTCGAAGAAGGTTAAGAACCACTGATCTACACTTTTGTAACTACTTCACATGTGTCGGGACTTATTTAATACAGTGGGCCTTCCTGATTTATTTTCTTTCTTTCTTTCTTTCTTTTTTTACTGGCACACTTACCTTAAATTTTTGGGCCTGCTCACTTATTAAGAATGAAATTAAATAAGTCATTCAGGCATAGTCATTTTGATTGACTGTTTGACAATTGTGTGGTTATAATGAAGAGGACAGTTCTTACCCTGTGCTGGGTACAAACGAGGTGTCCAGCCCAAGCTTCAAGCCCTTTGCCAGCTGCAGATCAGGAAATAAGTTCATATTCTATCAAAGCTCATCTTTAACCCTTTCAGGGACAGACGTTACTACAGTGGACAGCTTATCATGTTATCAGGTTACAGAGTGCATGAAAGCGTTAAAGGTAGTTTGGCATTTCACCTGGTCCTCGACTGTGATTTCTGTGGCCAGAGTGTTATCCGTGTTCCATTTCTGATTGAAGCTGAGGCCCAGCTTGTCGACTTTGTACTTGGCCTCCAGGTGGCCGCCCGACTTGCCCGTGTCGGTGTTGCTGGAGCCAGAGGTGGCAAACTCCTGCGAGACAGAACGGAGGTCAGAGGTGAGAGGCAGGAATCCGGTGAAAGCAGCTCGAGGTTGAGGGGAAGTACTCAAGGAGCCCACAAAAAGCATCATTTCGCTGCTGTGGTTGGGGAGGACTCTGGGGAAGAGGCTGGTGGTCAATGTGTGAGGATATGCTTTGGTGGAGCTACATTTGCATGTGTAGTAGTGCCTTGAGACACAAGTGAACACACTTACAGGTTTGGGGATTATTATGATTTTTTTTTTTTTTTTTTTACTTTGACTTGTCAGCAAAAACTTGAGAGTCGAGGACTGTGTGGTTGCTCCTCGGATTATAATGTTAATTGGATAGAGTGAGTTAGCTTGTCAGTAGCACCTTGGCTAAAATATCAACACGTGCAGACGGCACAACTGCTGGTTTCTCTTGTTCCAATTCAAACAGAAGACAGCGGTGCTTTTTGGGCCTGCGCGTTAAGGAATGGGATAAACACGCATGGTGCAGCAACACATGGAGACAGACAATAGAACAATACTCAGAGGCACAAGTCTCTTTTTTTGTTGGTGTTTTTGGGCTGCAACACCTTAATGGTATTTCCATTCATCTCAAAAGGGAAAGTTAACTTAAGTTGTGAGTGTTTTGAGTGAAGGGAATGGTCCAGAAAAAAATCAAACTCATATCTCAAGGCACCACTACTGTATACAAATCTTTTCAAGTGCAGAATACCCATCTACTCCCTTATATATGCAGACACTTTCTTACCATCTGACATTGAACATCCAAAGAAGAAGGGAGCGGATACAAAAAGAGAAAGGACAACATTAGAGGGGGGAAATAGAAGGGACAACCACATGCACTATATGGACAAAGGTTGAGAGAGGCCTACGAACCTAATTTGAATTCAAGGTAGAAATAAAGGGAACAATTCCATATTTTCATCCAATTTCACTTCCCGTACATGTAAGGACTCTATTTCACAATAATTTTGTCCATGTGCATTCACCAAGATCATGTGAACATGCTTATTTATTTTTTAACGCAAAGTTGTGTGTGATTTTTCACATACAAATGGTTAAAACACACACACGCACGCACGCACGCACGCACGCACGCACACACACACACACACACACACACACACACACAAACATAATGGCAGAAAAAGAAATGAACCTGTATAAAAACTGATTTGCAACAACAGATTCAAATATGACATGGTACAAAGTACTTACAACACCATTCTTGGACTTGGTCTTCACATCCAGTTTAAAAATTCCATAACCTGGCAGAGACGAGGAAGGAATGATGAGCACATACTAAAAAAAAAGAAGGTAAGAAAAAGTTGTAGCATACTTATGAATGGCTTATAAAGTATTGTTTGTACCATAGCCCTTGTTGAAGATGTCTTTGGCAGACTTCCCCAAGTCTGCGTATGCAGGCGGAACGGCCATTGTGTCTGAGTAAAAAAAAAAAAAAAACATACAAGTTTTGCATGCAGTAATAGCACTACACACATAAAACACTTTTTTTGTGGTAGCTTTATCTAGAAAGATATAATAGAGCCATGTTTAAAAAAATAATAACAACAAAAGCACAATGTTCAACAATTATTTTCGTTCTAAAACTCCCACTTTAATCTGGTAGCCTGACAAAGTTTCATTGTAAAAATGTTCTTCTTTTAAAATTGTTTTTGTTTTTCTCTTCAAAAATGTGCATTCTCCTAACAATTTTTTTTTCTTGTAAAAACACATAAGAACATTCTACTTCATCTGGCGTCTTTCTTATCCCTATACATCCCGACAAGTTTGACGAGTGAAAATATATCCGATTAAAGCC